CCTCTCTGCTTTGGCTGTTTTTACACAACAATGTTTTTTAAAGGTTTTTAAGAAAAAAAAGTACATATTTTTATTAAAATTTCTCAAAAAAATGCTTCAGTTAAAAACATTTTGTTTATTTTTTTATCATGATAAAAAACAAAACAAAACCATAAGCAGGTCAGATGATGTGTGCTGTTCTCTGTCTGTCCACAGACTGACAGACAGCTTTCTGAACTCTGCCTTTTTTCTTCTCTCCTCCTCCTTCTGCAGGCAGAGAGAGAAATAAGGAGGCATTTTCTAATTGTTGTAAATTGCAGCCAATAAAAAACGTCTTGTCAATTATTTGCCTTTCTTTTTTTTTTCCTCTTCTTTTTGTGTCTTGTTTTAATTTGATCAGTCAAATGCGGGACTTTGTTTCAACTTGCACGACGCCGGGTCAAGAGTGAAACATGAGATAGTCCTGCACAGTTTGCCTGGGGGTAAATTACCTGCTGAGTATAACTGTCCTCTGTTGTGTGGATGAGAGAAGAGAGAGGAGCTGCTTCAGCAGCTCTCCTCCTGTCAGAGCGCGCAGCGCGTTCACCGAGGGACAGCGCACAGGAGCTACGGGCGCGCGCGTGTGGTGAAGGGAGGGTGTGAGGGCAATATTATTATTAATAATATTAATACTGTTGCCATTATAGTTGTACACTTAATAAGAAGTACAACCAAGGGCGACAGTTGGAGCATAAAAAAAGTGGGTTCGACAGGGGCACTTGATGGTCTGGAGGGAAAAGGGCAGGTGCTCGAGCACCACCTGACGTCTGTCTGTGCACGTCCCTGCTGCAGATGCACTGGAACGTCTGTGGGTTCAGATCCAGTCACAAGCGTTTAAATGTCAGCTGGATGTTGGAGCGCAGCCATATGAGATCATACCGTTGACTCTGAATTTCACTGAGGCCTGCGGCGATCACAGAGGCTTTGTGGTTGTTCTGGAGCGATGCTGAAATGAAACCTGATGCAGGAGAGGTGGGCGGCCTGCGTCTGTAGAAGAGGAAACAAAAAGCTGGCTTTAACGTGTGTGTCTGTGCTGTGCCCGTCCTTCTTCATTGTCTTTTCATCCTACTGGTGTGTGTGTGTGTGTGTGTGTGTGTGTGTGTGTGTGTGTGTGTGTGTGTGTG